GTGCTCCAGTGTCGTCGTCGTCGTTGTTACCTGAACAAGGAAATTGGATACTTGTGCGCGCACATTTTTTTATCTCGTGAGTAAAATCAATTAGTACCTTCTGCTCTGCACTAATTCGCCCGAAAAGATTTATTTAGTAATAAACGGGTGATTTATAGCGGCCAACCGGAAATCATAAATATTGAGTGTACAAATGATTTTTGCGGCATCTTCCGAAATAGGGGAATCGTACGTGCTTTCCCGTGTATTTATAATCAACAAGAAGCGGATTGTTGAGGAAAAGCCATAAACTGTGGAACAACTTCTCTCCCCGAGTAATTAAAACTAATTAACTTTTAAGAGATTCTTAAAGCAGCCTTTATACACGCACGCATCTCCTGCGTGTGTTGTATTTTATTATTTTTTTCTTCTCTACTTTTTCTTTTTTCGTAATTCCTTCACTCCTTGGAAGTATAAATACTTCGTTGTATTTGGTAGACTCCAATATTCTAAAAATATACAAGCTTCGCCCGTTTGGAGAGGGTGAAAATTCCTGAAGTGAATTTTAGTGGTTTTTCGGGGGTCCTTCTCACCTCATATGAAGGGGACCCAGACAGTGTATATATGGGGACATTGGCCCCTCGCCCTGGTCTGGCCTGGTCTAACTTGGTGATTCCGAGTTTATTACCTCGGATATATACACCTTGAAATAGCAGTCCACATTTTGCGCTCCCCCATGTCTTATGTACACTCGATTTAATGAAATTCGCCACGGTTTATAATTAATTTCGATGAAATCCAAACTGCGAGAGGGGAACGACGTCTAAGTTGCATATAAAACGCATCTGGTCGAGCGAATAAATGAATTTAAAGCAACTCAATTTCGACCTCTCCCCCTTCGCTTTACACCCAAGATATATATACACAACTACAAGATTTCAACACATAAATACAAACCGAGGAGGAACCGCGTTTTATTAAAACATTCGCACAACATTTCATGTAATATTCCCCCAACGTACTTACATTATTTTTCATTAAAGTTATATAAACTTCTAATGTTTGATATTTGAAATTCCATTCTATGAATACTATATTCTAAAATAGTAATCAATTGATTTAATCATTTGCAATATATTCAACTTATATTTTACAAATATATAGAATTTATATCTTTGCAGTTATGATCTGTAATAATATCATAGTTACAATAACATTATTTCATCTTGCCTGTATAGATAATATTTCTCTTTTAATCTTAATTATAAGATAAGGTACTCTATATATAAGACATGATTTGAAAAAGCTAAATTTATCAACAGCCTCAAAACCATTTTGTAATAGTTTTAACTATTCAAATAAATTTTACTCAACTTAAAGATGCTGTACCGAAATAAGAAAACGTATATTTTATTATTTAGCATTTTTTACATTAAATGATTTTCATGGTATTTATGTATACCTAAATTTAATCAATTATACGTGGAATATCTATTTGGATTAATTTAATAACCTTTTTTACGATCTATACATTTGAAAGTTATGTAAATTCTTTTAAACTATATAGTTATGTAATCATTGTACCAATAGGAAATACTTCCAAACAAGTTTATCAATGTTTATATGAAAGCTTTCTTACATTCTCTGAAAAAAACACTATATAAACCAAAAACAACATTTTATTAGGAAAATATTACCTGCACTTCTCATCACTTACTGACCTATCTCTGTCCAACGGTTTCTCACAGTTATTTATATATATTTTTTACTGCCGCTGTGATATGCGGTACCTCGAAAGAGGATTAACTCTCCTTTCGGAACTGTTTAAGATGATTATCCCAAGACTCAATAACCAAGGGTGCGAACAGATTGAATACATTTTAATACCTCCAATAAAAAGAAATTCTCTTCTTTTCATTCTCTGCCGCTCTCCTGTACCAAATCTGAGCAGTCTGTATAAAATATGCTTAAGCATTTGCTGCGATACGAAACAATGCGAGAAATTTTGTTTTGAGTCTCTTATTATGATCGCGCGAATTCTGTAATAGCGATAAATAGGTTTTAGGTGAGAACATTCCAAAATTATTTTCATCGTGCGTGTAAACCAGTTCTCCATATGCGGAATGCGGTATTATATAAGACAAGAAAGCAATTTACGACTTAGAACAGTAGTGTAAAAAATTGTCGCGCTGATTACAATTTATGAAAACGATCTTTGCGGTAAAGAGTTTCTCCGTTTGATAAGTTCATTAAAATCAAGCGATTTCATATCTGCAGAGTAATATCAAGTAAAAGCAAGATAGTAGACTTAGTTAAATGTTCATATGCAAATTAAATTGCAAATCAAGCAGGTGCTAAATATATAGGTAACATGTAGCCATTTCACAGGTTTTATGTTGAGCGAGATCAAATGATATATGATTAATTTTATCTGGAACAGTGACATCGCACTGAAAATCCTGTAACGGAGAACTTTCTAATTTATAATAGCTCGCAAATTAAGGTGTTCTGTGATTCGATTTGATTTTTTTTGTGTTCGGTCGTGTCTACATGTATATCTTCGATCAGCAATTTGAGCATTAAATCCGCTTGGTGAGGAATTTATGAATATTCTAATTACCGAGCGGCGCAATACTTTTACACCGCGCAGAACTGTTTTTCAGGCCGACATCTCTGTTTGCCGATAAATAATAACTTTTGCCAATTACCTCCGCATAATGATGTTCATTAAAAGCTATTAAATACATGCTCGAACTCCGTGGGAAATATTTCGATAATTCTACTTGTATTTATTATTGCAGCAGAAAAAAAACGCAGGCAATAACATGAAGCACATTTCGAAATGACTCCAGAAGACAACGTTATGGCAATAATTTATTCATTCATTTCAATTTCTCCCCGAAAGAGAACGGTTAAACATACATACTCTTCTCCGTTTTTACTCTTTGCTCTTTTCCGAGACCCGTTTTATGACTCCCAGTCATAATTTTAATGCATCTGCCGGATTTTACAGTCTATACGTGCCTCGAAATCTAACGAAAATGCATTAGTTCTCAAAATGTAAATAAAAAACTTCTCTTAAATTGTGAAATAAAACATTTTCAGTGAAGCGAAGATAGGAAAGAAATCACAAATGCATCTTTAAAACACTCATAAAATAGTACCTCGCATAGTGCGGTTTGGATCAGTCTGAATTCAGTATAGTTATAGACTATAATATAGAGAATAAGGAAAAAATAGACAAGTATATTTTTTAAATTATATACATATTTCGTATTTTAATATACAACAAACTTATGTCAATATTAAGAGATTAAATAATATTTATACTAACATTAAATCACTATATTTATATAGTATAGTATGCTTCAGTGCTCATGTATTAAGTTCTAAGATACGAATCAGTTGTTCGAAGCCAAATCGACCGGATGGCTACATCATACTAAATATGGATTACTTCCAAATATGCTTCTGTTCAAGACAATATCTAGATAGAAACAACAAAAAAAAAGTAAAAATGAAACCATATTACGTAACCGTAAAATGTGTAAGTCCGTTTTTGGGAATGTCTTGTTCATGTATGCAGTTGCGTTTACCTGTGTTTTTATTTCGTGGTTTACAGAAGTGAAATCCATGGGGAATGCTAGACTACATGCTACTTTTATACCTGGAAATAATTTAATTAAATCGGTGGAGGAAATAACTGAAAGAGAACGTACACGAACTTCAATGTTATCAGAGAGTATCATTTTGGAGCTGAATCGAGCAGAGTTAACTTAATTAACTTCATGAATAAAATATACAATGGATATGTAAAATCAGTCGGGAATGGTAATACTAATAGACTTACAGAATGACAATTTATTAAATGACTTAAAATAGAGTGCTCTTGAATCGGACGTATTTCGTGTTCAGCTGCAAATTAAAAATATGTAGTTCTTATTTCTAAGAACCGTTTCGTTTCTGTTTTGGTAAATAAATATAATTTATAAATAAAAAAGAATAATTGCCTAAAACTTTTTATTTAAAAATAAACTGCGTGTTTAAATCAATATAATTTAGAACTAAATAAAATACAATTTATTTAATCAGTCACTATGTTACGAGTGTTGAAGCGTTAATAGTGGAAAACAACATAATAAAAATATGATCGTGCCTGTAGATTGACTGTGACATTTAGATTCATTTCAATCATGATATTTATTACCATCTGAGATTATATATCAAGATTGAAAATATGAAAGCCGAAGTTGGAAACGCTGCAAAAAATCATCTATAATAACTTCTGTATTCACTGTTACGTAAAGTTAATTTAAATTTCAATTATTTGCATATTATTATTTACATCCATTTTTTCCATTATATAGCATTGTTTATTAGTAGAATATTAAACATTTATTGTAGCACAGTGTTTGTAACAAATTTAAATAGTTACATAACTACTTCAAAGGATAATATGTTAAGTAATTAAACTATGTTGATTATAATACAATAAACTGGTATATTGAAATAGTAAGAATTTCTATTTAATACTTGAAACTGAATATTGGGTCTCGTTTATTTTTTTTTAAAGGGGCGAAATTACACCTGTCAGCTTTGGCCGAACATTTTATATTACAAACAACTGTAGACAAAAGTTGAGAAATTCTGTTATATTGAATACTAATTCAAATTATCGAACATTTCATTTTGGTAATTAATATAAAAATATAATTCTTGATCTATAATCCGAAAGATTTTTTAATAAAGCAATGCTGTTTAAATATAACAACATTACTTTGTTGTTAAATTTATGTTTATCAAAATATAATTTGTTGAAAGTAATTGAAGTTTATGTAGTATTAGAGATATGCACTAGCATGACTAATTCATATCGATTGGTGATGATAAATCAGAAAGTTGTAGGTAATAAAACCATGAGTAAGAAAGTGTTTTATTCATGTTTCATATTCGTTTCGTATCTAATCACAAGTAGATGTTGTTGCGGGATTATTAATGTATTTTTCTCTTTCGTTTTCCAGTTTTAATCAAGAATATGATCATGTGGCGGATAGTAAATATGATATAACGTATCCGGAGAGCACTGAAGCAGGAGTAGCAGAAGGAGCAGGAGGGCTTTCTTTTGTTGTCAAGTATATATAATACATGTGCCGTAATATCTGAGAAGGTGAAATCATGTTTCCGACGGTATTCTACTTAATTGCGCTTTTGGTGTATGTGAACGTGAATGCAGACGTGTTCGCTCATCAGCGGACGAGGAAAATGCTGAATCCGAGTGTGAACCTTCGAGAGCGGAAGCCGAACATAATCCTGATCCTGACCGATGATCAGGACGTGGAACTTGGCTCGCTGAACTTCATGCCGAAGACTTTGCGGTCGATCAGAGATCATGGAGCCGAATTCAGGCATGCCTATGTCACGACTCCGATGTGCTGTCCGTCACGGTCGTCCCTGCTCACGGGGATGTACGTCCATAATCACAACGTTTACACGAACAACGATAATTGCTCCAGCACTCAGTGGCAGGCGACACACGAAACCAGATCTTTTGCTACTTATCTATCCAACGCCGGATACAGAACTGGTAAGTACCATCCCCCATAAGTAAACTTATTTTTCATAACTTGCATTTCGTGATTGTGTCTCTATTTATCTCCAACCCCGTGATCGTTAGCCAGCATTTAAATGTTATTTCTTATAGTATTTTGTTACATGCACATCATAATGATGTACTTTATTAAACCCGATAGTTTTTAAAGAATTTAAAAACTATTTAATTTTCAAATATACTTATATTTGATCATTTAGAAGTGAGAAATATGGATGAAATATTTATTATTATAATAAAAGAATAATAATAAAACAACTATGAAAAAGTATATAATAATATTCATATTATTGTTAATGGTTTATTATAATATAACAGGCATTTTTTTTTGTATATAATTCAAGCCCATATTGATTAAAATCTACTACTGTTTTTTTTTCAATATCATACTCTATTAAGTGAAAATAACTTGTAGATATTTTTTTTTAAATAAAACCTTTTGTGAATTTCTACATTCGTCTTATGATTTGATGCAATTGAGATTAATCAGATTTACTTTATATATTAACATGATTTATTTACTTGAAAGTTTATAACATAAAAGGCAAAATAAATAAAAGATTAAACTTATAAAACTACACAATTATATGACAGTTACCTATATGTTTAAACTGTGAAAGAAAACAAAACAAAGAAATCAATAAATGTTTTTCATAGATCGTTGTTAGTAATCCTTATATTTAATAACACATGAACAAATGTATATGTGACTGCAAATTATAATTTTTTTTTTTGTAAATAAATCATACATTTACAATAATAATAATTATTATAAATAGCTATTAATATTCTAATAACAACATATGCGTTTGGCCGAAGGATAAAAAAAGTAACTCACAGCAAGTATGTTTTTCATTTCGTCGGCATGAAAATAAAAGCAGAAATAAATCCGCATTTATTGCTCAATTCCCTGTTCTGGGGGAAACTTCAAACTTGTTTGCGTTGTAGACAGAAAATTATGAATCATTATTAAATTACGAGGCTTTGAAGTGGTGACGATTAAAATCAAATTAAAATCTCCTCCTCGTTATGGAGAATGAAAAAAAGGAAGCTTCCCACTCGTGTAAACTCATTAAGTAGTTTACCTTTTCTCGGTAACAACTTTTACACCCAACAAAACGAAACAACAAGAAAATGTACGAACACTTTATAAAAAATGAGAGCATTTAAAATATCAATAATTTTACATTTATTTTGTGTGTATTATTATCGTATGATCAAATAAAATAGTATACAGAAATACCTAGGACTGTTCCACAGTAGTACTCATTTTTTAGAATTTATTTATATTTGTTTTGTAATTTTCAAATCATGCAATGGTCAATCGAAGCATTACTATGTGTAGTATTGCTGAAATACAAAACCGTATAATAAGTAATGTTCATAATTTATTATTAACGGTTATAGTTGAATTTCTTCATTTTATTTTCTTCATAAAAGTTAAGCTGGAAGCTATTTATATTTCCACAATAAATATATAGTTTCTAATAATCTATATCATTGAAACGGCAGTACTAAATATTATTATTTCACTATTAATCTTGAAATATCTGTGAAGCTGGCGCGTATTAAAAATGTGAAGTAGTTTGATGTAATGAAATACGTGCCTTATATTTTATGTATTTCTTACTATTTATGGCTGTTTATAAGATACACATCCTTGGGAATATCTGCTGCATGATATCCATTTGATCTTGATTTGTTGTTTATTCCATATCATACGTTCGACGTCCGACAGTAAAAAGGCGAGACCGTGCGACCAGTCCATCCTCTGCAAATTCATATTAAAATATTACTTAAGATACTTTCTTGCATTTCTGCTTTAAGAAAATCTACTTAATTCTTTAATTAATCTATTTCGTCGCTATTAATTTAATAACAAATAATATTATTCGAAACTAGTTTTACATTATTTAAATATAGTAAAATATCTTTAAATTGGATATTTATGAAAATGAACACAATAGCCATTATCTATCTTAAAACAAAAAATAGTTTATGTAAAAATATAAATACACAACAATGTTGTTATATTATTATTTTATCATTTATTGTATTATATATATTTAAAATGATTTCAATATACTTAAGTACATCAATACCCCGTATAGTGTAGCTTCGATCAGTGCGGATACTATAGTACGATTTAAAAATTTCAAAAAAAAAATATGTTTAAATTTAGCAAAATTAAAAGTGATTGAAAAATTAGTATACAAAAACAGGTCTTTGTTGTGCTATTATAAAATGCTCAATTAGTCCGGTTTCAAACAGATCCCGGACATTCATTTTTATATTAAAATGATAATGTTTTTGGTTAATGTTATTTTAAGCTAATAATATTGTTCACATTAAAATATAATTCATATTTACAATTTGCAATTTATATTTGTAGATTTATAATAGGTCTTCGTTAATCTATTTTCACCTCATAGTGAAATGTTTTGCACTCCATATAAATCAAGGTTGATTTAATGGTTATAGAAATAAATTCTCGTTCTTAACGGAACTGCAGTTACGCATTACACTTTATCCAAATATTATGCACGTTAGAAAAACAGTTTTGTTTTCGCTTTTCATAAATAAAGTTATAAAATTCGACGTACTTGAAAAGCTATTATTGGCCTTTAATAATTTAATAACTAAAATAATATATTTTTTTATTATGTTATAGTATATTTAATTTACAATCTCATTCCTGCGAACATTAATTAAATCTAATGGCAGTAGACATTTGTTATTCTTTTTGTAAACTTTCCAATTGAAGTTTTTACCATCATATTATTCTGTAATTTGTTGGTTGACTGCCGTCTTATAGGTTAATTTCAGTATATTGATGCTCTGCGATTTGTCTGTGTATTTGCTGCTATCATTAAAACTGTCATTGTCCATTGACTTGGCAGAATGTACATATGATGTAACTCTTTTATTTGACTGTCAATACATGATGAACGATGGCCCTATTACTGCAAGCACCAAGAGGGCTCACAAAGGACCTGGCTCGACCAGAATTCGAACCGGCGCCCACGACTTGACCATTCGGCTATTAGTCGCCCTCTACAAAAATAGAGTTTTTTTTATTAAACATTACACTTCTGGTTGAGAAAAGTCAATAACAATATTTACACTAAATTAAGTTAATTAGTTGTAATACTTAAGGTGCTTTTTATTCATACTAATTTTTCAAAATTCAGTTCTAAAGTTGAAATGCTTGATCTAAACTTCTTAATTAATTTATTGAATTTTTATGAGTGTTTATATTATAGTAAATATATGTACTAGTTTACATAATGGAGTATTACATGCAGTATTTAGTATTTATGTACTTAGTAATTCAACAACTAGATTTGCATGAATTTGACCACAATCAAATAATTGTTAGTAATAATGAGTAATGGTTATTTTTCATTGAAGATAACTTGACCCTAAGCGTGATCATTTATCAAATACAATTTTCTTTCCTATCCAATAGTAATTTTCTTTTAATCCAGCCAGCCGGTCGAATCTGTCAGATAAATTATTGTGTAAAGTCGTAATTATCGTTCGACGAACAAGCTGCATTGTATGGAATATACGGAAACGTTCAGTCAAATTAATAACTGCAAATTTTTCTACATTGATCGATGCAAAAGCACGTCAATTTTGATGCTGATTAATTATCACCTAATGGCTAGGAAAATGAAGTTTAAATGTGATTTATTACCGTTTAATAGATTCACTCTTTTGGTATATTTTTTGTGTGTGTTCAAATGGTCATAACCGGGACGGATGCACTGTTGACTTTGACAGCCAAATTCCACTTACATTCTGATCGCTCCGTTACGCAATCCCTTTCATGGAGTCGAGGACACCACGCATCCATCGTGTCCATTCGAACTTTAAGTATACAAAAAAAATAAATGTGTATAGCACGTACGTCGTGTGGGCATTCATATTTAAGGTGTTTTATGAATCAGCTGCACCACGTGGGACTTGCCACTTAATTGCTTCCTAATTATTATGCCTTCGTGGAGGCGAGCGAAGCGATTTCACATATGTTTGACAAACAGAAATAATAGAACGGGATGAAACGTGGACAAAAGCCGAAACAAAACAGTTATTTTTTACTCTCTTTCTGCTTCAATAAAAAAAACGAGAGTCAAAAGTATGGTATGTTTTAAGCTCGGTTCGGTTACCAGGAATTTCGATGTCGAAACGTTTGTGTAATTGAATGTATGATTTATATATGTTACCTAGTGCATATGCGTCTGATTTGAAATGCCAGTCAGCTTTTGCAGAATAATAGTTTCAACGGAATAGAAAATATCGCATCGACTTGTTCTTTTTCCTTTTTCAATGTATGCTTTCAGTTTGCAGAAGGAAGCACGTTTATGGTATTGTTATTACGTTCCAAAAAATATATATGTTATATTTTACATTTTACACCAGTCTGGATCGCACGAAACTTACAATTTTCTAACGTATTTCACATTCATATTAAATTCAACTTTATTTAACAGCAAAACTACTTTGCATATTACTAAAATATAACAAAATTTTATAAAAAAAAATGTACCAATGTTTGTGAAAACATAATTGATTATAAAATAGAATTTTATATTAGTAAGTATAACTTATAAATTACACAACATGTTTTTTAATACAATTTGAAAGCGATTAATTAAAATATTTTTTACTTATAACGAAGTTTTGCATAATTTTACAAAATGTTATATACTTTTTAATCAGCTTGTGGAAGTTTCTTTATAAAGAATTTATGTTAAAGCAAATAATGAGTATTATTATTTAATATAATTTAATTCTTTTAATAAATAATATAAGTGCTACATAACATCAATTTCTGGTATAAAATGTTGATGCACTAAGAACAAACATCTGCCGTATAATTTTCAATTTGTTTATGTCATAACCAGTCAGTGGATTTCCATAATACACTTTTACAAAAAATATCAGCTATTTTTTCAATTTGTCGATAAAAA